AACCTGAGACAGTGGTATTTGGTAACCCTTACTATCTCAACCCAAATGAGAATATGTCTCAATCCCTTGTTGCTGAGAGTTTCGATGGAACTAATTATGTGATGTGGAGTAGATCTATGCAAGTTGTTCTTAAGACTAAGAACAAACTGGGTTTTATTGATGGGTCAGTGCCCATTCCTCCTCGAGATGCAGATTTGTTTAACTTGTGGGATGCTTGCAACACTGTAGTTCTCTGTTGGCTACAGAACTCTATGATTAAGGAGATAAGAAGGTCTGTGTTGAATCACACAAATGCTAAGGCATTATGGGATGAGTTGAAGAGACGATATGGTCAACCTAATGCACTTAGAATCTTGAACTTGGAAGATGAAATACAGGCTTGTAAACAGGGAACTAGATCTATAGGTCAGTATTACACAGCCATCAAAGGGCTCTGGGATGAGTATGTTGAGTTTAGTCCTGTTGTTCCATGTGTTTGTGCACCTGGGAATCCCATACCCTGTGCTGCTGTGGCTGCTTTTATCCAGAAGCAGGAGACTGACTACCTTGTAAGGTTCCTGAGAGGACTCAATCCAGAGTATGAAGTGATCAAGACTCAACTCCTGCTGCAGAAACCATTGCCTACAGTATCAACAGCAGTGGATGATTTGCTGCAACATGAGCAGAAGTTGAAGGCAGATAACTCTGCAGGAAACAAGAAAGGCCAAAGTCTGGCTTTGGCAGTTGGTGGAAGCCCTGGTAACAATTCCAGGGATAACAGTTCAAGGGACAACAATGAAGGAAGAGGAAGGAAGTTTTGTCGATTTTGCAAAATGAACAACCACAATATTGAAGACTGCTGGAAGCTGAAAAGAAAGCAGGAAATGCAAAGAGATGGCAGTGGTAATGGGGGGTCATCCTCTAGTTCTGGTTCAAGCTCCAGCACTCCAAGGTTTGCTGGTTCTATCTCTCAGAACAGTGGAAGTGACAGTGTGTCTGAGGGAAGTGTCATGAATGAGAGCAAATCATCCACAACACTTGGTTTTACTCCAGAAGAGATGAACAGACTCAGGATTTTATTGCAATCTGGTGCTGGCACTCAACCTTCACCACCCACCTCACCATCCATTAACCACCAAGCATATTCAGCCACTCTTTACCCTACCACCTTCCCTTCATTCTCAGGTAAACATGTCCTATCTTCCTCTCAGAACTGTAAAACACAAAACCTAGCCTTATGGATTGTAGATACAGGAGCCTCAGATCACATAGCCTGTCATCTATCCCTTTTCTCCAGTTATAGACCTGTCCAAGATACTTTTGTTTATCTCCCAAATAGCACAAAAGTTAATGTCACATGTATAGGGACAGTTACACTAGATTGTGGATTAAAACTACATGATGTTCTCCTAGTGCCACAATTCTCTTTTAACCTTATCTCTGTTAGCAAACTTACCCTTGATAACCCATATTCCTTACATTTTCATTCTGATAAATGTGAAATCCAGGACCTCTTAAACCAGAAGAGGATTGGTTTAGCCCACACAACTAGAGGACTCTACCATCTTGCCCTATCTTCAAGACAACCAAAGCCTTCCTCACCACTTCTTCAACACCAAGCAGCCACCATCTTCAACTTCATTCCACAAGACCTCAACCTGTGGCACTGGAGACTAGGACACCCTAGCCATGATAGGCAGTCTTTACTTAGTCATGTAATTCCCTCTATAGCTAGAACCAAGACCACTCACTGTGAAGTGTGTCATTTGTCCAAACAAAGAAAATTACCTTTCCCTGTTAGCACCAGCATTGCACCTGAGGCTTTTCATTTGATACACATGGATATTTGGGGACCATTGTCCACAGTTTCTTATGATGGATTTTCATACTTTCTAACTGTCGTGGATGATTTTACTAGATGTGTGTGGGTGTACTTGATGAAACACAAAAGTGAGGTAAGGGGGTTAATCCAAGGTTTTTGCAAGTTGGTTGAGAACCAGTTTCACAAATCTGTTAAGGTTATTAGAACAGATCAAGGTAAAGAATTTGAAATGTGTGAATTCTTTAGTTCAGCAGGCATAGAACACCAGGTCTCCTGTGTAGAGACCCCTGAACAGAATGGGAGAGTGGAGAGGAAACATCAGCACATTCTTAATGTGGCTAGATGTTTGAAGTTTCAGTCAGGGCTGCCTTTGGTTTATTGGAGTGACTTTATCCTACATTCTGTTTACTTGATCAACAGAATGCCTACCCCCATTCTAAACAACAGAACCCCTTATGAACTGTTACACAAGAAAGCTCCATTTTTAGGCCATTTGAAGGTATTTGGATGTCTCTGTTATGCCAATACCTTGGTCCATGGTAGAACAAAATTTGCTCCTAGAGCAAAGCAGTGTGTGTTTATAGGGATCCCCTCTGGTCTCAAAGGATACAAAGTCCTTGACATCCACACCAAGCAAGTCTTTTTCTCCAGAAATGTTTCATTCTATGAAACTATACTTCCTTTCAAATCTTCTGACACAACCTCCTCTCCTCCCAGTCCATCTACTCCTAATACTTCTGATACAGTTCCAGCTCCATCTCTGCATATTCCCTTTTCTATTAATCCTGCTCAACCTGCTCCACAGTCTCAATCATCCATGGATGAAGGGGGGGATCCTGAGCAGGAGTTCTCATCTGGTCCAAGGACAACACCAAGAAGTGACCACTACACTTATTTTGACTCAGATGAGCAAGAGCTATATCCTCAAGCTGATCCAGACCTTAATGAACCCAGCACAGAGGATAATAGAAGGCCCTCAAGACACATAAAACTGCCAACCAGGTACAATGATTATGAATTGGACTCCTCTCTCAAGTTTGGAGCATTTGGTGGGGTAAATGCTAGCACCAAGTACCCTATCTGTCTGAATGTTAATTCTTTAAGCAAAGAAGACAGATGTTTTGCACTGAGTGTTATCAATCTTGTGGAGCCAAAATCTTATTATGAGGCAGTGAAATCAGATGTGTGGAACAGGGCTATGAAAGATGAAATGCATGCCTTGGAAGAGAACCAGACATGGGACATAGTTCCATTGCCACCAGGAGTGAAGGAAATAGGGAATAAGTGGGTTTATAAGATAAAACTACATCAGGATGGATCACTGGAAAGGAGTAAAGCTAGACTAGTAGCTAAGGGCTACACACAGGTGTATGGAATTGATTTCCTAGACACCTACTCACCTGTAGCTAAGATTAATACAGTGAAAACATTCTTAGCAGTTGCAAGTGTGAAGCAGTGGGTCCTAGAGCAATTGGATGTATCCAATGCTTTTCTACATGGAGATTTAGAGGAAGTTGTTTACATGAAGTTACCCCTGGGATTGGAAGTACCATCTGGAAGCAATCAGAAGATGACTTGTAGACTGAAAAAGTCACTCTATGGCCTCAAGCAGGCATCAAGGCAATGGTTTGCAAAATTGACAGGTTTCCTTTTGAAGTTTGGTTTTTCACAATCTGCTTCTGACTATTCTCTTTTTACCAAGTGGACACATGGGAAGATTACAGTTTTGTTGGTGTATGTTGATGATATCATATTGGGAGGTGATTCAAGGAAGGACATTGAGCAAGTGAAGGCAGCATTAAGTAAGGAATTTAAGATAAAACTTCTTGGACCTTTGAAATACTTTCTGGGGTTGGAAGTGAACAGAAATGAGAATGGACTGGATGTGTGTCAAAGAAAGTACTGCATTGACTTGTTAAAGGATACAGGGTACCTGGAATCTAAAGGATGTAAAACTCCAATTGATACCAAAGTAAAGTTGTCATCTCAGGGCACTTTATTAGAAGATGCAGAAAGTTACAGAAGACTGGTGGGAAGACTGCATTATCTAACTATCACTAGACCTGACATAGCCTTTGCTGTTCAGCAGCTATGTCAGTACCAGAAGTCTCCTTGCTCAGAGCACATGCAAGCTGCTTACAGGGTCCTCAGGTACTTGAAATCATCTCCTGATCAGGGTATTCATTTTAGCAATCAGGCTGAGTTAAAGTTGACAGGATACAGTGACTCAGATTGGGCAAGTTGCCCAGACACCAGAAGATCCATCACTGGATATTGCACCATGCTTGGTTCCTCCCTGATAACCTGGAAAACAAAGAAGCAAACAACTGTCTCAAGATCTTCATCTGAGGCAGAGTATAGAGCACTGGCTCACCTTGTCTGTGAAGTGGAATGGCTGAAGAGGTTGCTGACAGAGTTAACAGTGGAGGTCCCATTGCCTATAACAGTATACTGTGACAACAGATCTGCTATTCACATAGCAGAAAACCCTGTTTTCCATGAAAGAACAAAGCACATTGAAATTGACATTCATGTGACTAGGGAAAGGATCAAGACAGGTTTAATCACTTTGAAGTACATCAACACAGCAGAGCAACTAGCTGATTTATTCACCAAAGGATTGGATCGATTCAGGCTAAGAGACTTACTTGTCAAGTTGGGGATCAAGTTGATACCACCAACTTGAGGGGGGCTGACAGAATCGAAGAATTGAAGATTGCAGAGTTGCAGAAGAGAAGCAGTGAAGAAGAGAAGTCGAGCAGATGAAGAAGAAGAAGAAATCCAGATTGGGGAAGGATTCACTGGAATCATTGAAGAAGTAAAGAAGAACGACGACGTATTACTAGAAGAGAAGTGAACAAGAGAAGACGACAACGTTTTGTTTATTTCCACTTAATAGCCGTTAAGTTACTGTTTAGTTTTATCTTGGACGAATGATGTAAGGACAACTGGCTCTTTTTGTTTAATTGAATCCCAGCTATAAAAGCTGAAGGAAGACTCAGAGATACCTGAGCTTCTTCTCCAAATCTCATTACAAAATTGTTATTGAGATAATCTCGATGATGAATTTTATACCATTCTCGTACATTTTTTCGGCAAAAAAAAAGTCGTGCCGTTGAACGTGAAATGAACTTGAAGAACAGTAGAACTCATTCACATAAATATCATATGCACAAAATTGTTACATTGGCGTTGTTACGATTCAAAGCCGGCACCTCATAACTTTAGTATCATGTAAGAAACCAATTCACCTTAAATAGCCTCAAGAACATGTTTCACATAAGACCCTCGGCCTATATCCTTGACACTAACCACAACGCAAGACACAAATTAGACGATGTCATCGTAACCTAATCTCAGTACTCATATTAATCTGCAAAACATTAGTACATTGCACAAGCTCACCAAAACCTCGACGTTCTAAGAAAATTTAAGAACAAAAAGCCAAGAGTTAAGAAAGAAGAAAAAATGGCCATTACCCCTCCAGAAATGAAGCTAAAAAAGAAAAAGAAAAATAGATTATATAGAAGATTGGAAGACACAAAAGGTGTAAAAGTTAATTAATGGTAGGTTTGTAACACTTTTGGCTTCTGCATTGCCACACAACATAGAGCTCGAATTTCACAATATCCTTAACTACCTCCTGACTTGAGAGTATTACTCAACCTGCAAGCAACCAAGAATTCCAAATATTAGAGTGATGCAATAAGCAGATTCATCCAAGGAGGCAATGCTGCTCGTCCTGGTCTTGCACACAATGGCTAGAGGAAGTATGATTCTGAAAATTTGAACATTCGATTCTGTTCTGAAATGTTCTTACGAGATGGCCTTCTTAGTAGTTAGTCCTGTTTCTAATCAGGTTTGTTTCCAGTATTCGCCTAATCTATGGCAGTCGTATAAATGAGTTCCGTAGGTTTGGATGAGTGACCATATATGACAATCAAGTACTGGAGAATGCTCACCAGTCCAATCCCTCATAGAGGCCTTCGCCCTTAACAGCACAAGTCTTGAAGATGGACCATTGCCGGTTTTTAATCTTGTGCAACTCTAGAGCCTCAGTAACTGCAGCATCATCAAGCGCACCAGGAAGATCCTGCTCACAGAGAGTAGCAATATCAGCAGAGCTAATAGGCTGCGAAATGGGGAAACAGGCTTGGACAACTTATGCAAACCCAAGAATTAATCAACCCGAAGAAAATCTGTGAGCTTATTGAGTCCTCTACATAGTATTGGAAGATGACAGAAAAAAAGGTCTCACCTGCTTGTTTGCGAAAATGAGGACAATGGCCCCTTTCAATTCTTCTTCCTGCCAAATTGTGCAATTACATGAGCTAGTGAAGTTTGTCAAGATGCAAGACTAGAATTCAGGAAATGATACAGGTTTGCAGAAGTCAGATAGCAAGCTAAACATCCTCAATTTCCTTTAAGCAACTTTTATGCCTAATTGATAGTTTAACCATCACCATTATTACCTGTTGCTTAAGAAAACACACAATGACATGTTCAGTTTGCAATTACTAAACACTATCCCATAACACCATTTAGATAAGCACAACTATCCGCATGATCCTACTTTGAATGACTAGAAAGCTTCCTATATCGGGGATCTATAGTCTCCTCATTCATTTTCCGCACTTTCAATGGGTCAAACAAATCAGAAGCTAATGTAACCTCCACTTTATGGAAGTCAGATGTGGAGACCAAGATAGTCAATAGCAAAAGCCTCATAACATCGACATAAATATACCTACAAGCTTATTATTATGCATTTTCAGCATAAAAATAATTTGAAATGATATATTTCTGTATTTCTGGCCCATAGATTACCTCCAAAATTGCATGAAATTCTTCTTTAGCTATTCCAATTCTATCCGTGTCACTTGAATCAACCACATAAATCACTGCTTGAGTATTTGGGAAATAGCATCTCCAGTAAGGCCTGCAATAACAATCCAGTCACTCAACAAGACAACATGGAGGTGAGCTGTTGAGCCAAACTTTCTATGTGATAAGCATTCCACGAAGGACGTATATGAACCACATATATTAGAAAGAGAAAGTATCTGATCCAGACTATTCCATAATTATCCTTCAGAAAGAGACTGGAGTTGCAGCCAGATTAATAGGTTATAGACTAACATTCACTAGTAATTTGTTCTTTCCGCAATATCCAGTTTGAAATTCAACAACTCTGCATGTGAACCTTTATGAGACCCTTGCCATGTTTGACATATTTCTATCTTATTTGAATGCAAAACATCCAAGTAACAGTTCATACAAATCTCTGGAGTCATTTTTTAGTGCTATGTATATGAACAGGCAACAGCTTAATGAGGAATCTCCATTCAGGTGTTCATTATTGCCTCCTTATGAAGTGTTTCCAAACTAATGTTCAAAGCAAACTAAATAATCATAGTGTGAATTATACTAAGAACAAAATCAGCAGCAAAGAACACCAAACACTGCTACTAACTTGCATCATCTAACGACATACTGATTGGAAAATGAGATAATCTGTTATGATTTAAAAGCCATTGATAAAAAACCTAGCCTTTATGTATGTCTCCTAGCATAAGAAGGCCAATTTTTCTAGAACAAAGAAATCAGACAAAATTGGAACTTGCATAGGACCATGTAGGAACCTGGTCCGCCCATAGCAGTAGGAGCGGATCAGATTTTTTTGCATTAAATGCAACTAAAACAAAGGCAATACCGCAAGGTATTCAGTTTCTCTAAACATTTCTTCCATTAAGCACTTTTACTTCTACAACAGAGAGAGAGAGAGAGAGAGAGAGAGAGAGAGAGAGAGAGAGGGAGAGAGAGAAGGGAGAGAGAGAAGGGAGGAGCACAGCTTCTACCAACATTCTAAATCAACCATTGCCATGTACTTGATAATAACATATTAAAGTCGATGTGATTCTTACAACTTACAAGTAAATCCAAGAGTTTTGCATCAAGATTCAGAAACAAAAGGACCAATTTTATTGCAGAGCTAGCCTTCTGGCTGACAATATCAACGCGTGCTTCAACAGATTTAAATTGTGATATTTTAGATAGCTCGCTTAGAAAATATTGATGAAATTTGAATGTTCACCACCTGATGAACAAATCATAACCAAGCTAGAAGCCATTATTCCAAGAAACTGCGTGCTAAATAAAGGGTGAAAGAAGAGGTTGAAGAATCAAAGTTACCTGATGCTTGTCTGGCCACCTGTTCCAACACAAAATGCAATAATTCAGGTTGATATTCTACATCACAACGTATAAACGTTCACCAATTCAACTTTAAGCAAGATAATGGCTTCTGTAAACTTCAGCAGCTGAAGCAGTTAAACTAGGTCGTGCATCTGATAATATCAGTTACCCTCAGAAGCAAATATCAAGGTGTATCAATATAGACTAAAAAGGATTGAGCAGAACCAGTGCTCACAATATCAAATAACAATTCAATGTTAAGAGCTACACCCTGACACATAGCAGCATCTCAAATACCAGCAGCAGAAGCAGTTAAGCAGAGGCAGACTTTCAATTATACGTGAATTTCCTCGTTCTTAAAAATTGAAATCCATGAACAAAAAGTTTAGCGCCAAGCAGATTCAAAAGCCACACATGAACTGGACCAATTTACAATGCATCACAGAGATCATCCCAAGCAAATACCGATCCTAGCCGCATAAACAAATATAGTGAGCAATGCAAAAGAACTTCAAACTTACCCAAATCCCACACCTGGAATTTAATGTTGTTGTACTGTACAGTTTCCACGTTGAATCCAATTGCTTCACAGAGAGAGGGGGAAAGGCAAAAGCGTCAGATTTGGTACAGAATCCGAACAATTCAATTACGAACTGAATTTCAGGAAAAGCCGCATGCACCATTAAAGACTTACTCGGGATCGTGGAGACTACCTCCCCCATTTGAAGCCGATCTGGCAAGCAAAGAAAACACAGACCGTTCAGTAGATTTACAAACGGAAACCAACCAGCTGGGAAATCAGGCTGAGTAGGAGAAACAAGATAAACCCTAGAGCGCGAATTGAGATAGGTAGACAAGATCGCATACAGAGAATAGTAGTTTTGCCGGCATTGTCGAGGCCGAGAACGAGAATTCGAGCTTCCTTGTTGCCGAATACAGAAGAGAACATCCGAGTGAAGAGAATCCCCATGGCTATCGCTGCTCTTGATCGCCCTCCGCCCTCTAGCTTTATTTAATTATTCTATTTTCCTGCAATTTTCTGCAGAAATTCCTATAGCCCAATGGTTTCCTCCTCGTTCATCTCCCTCAGATTCGCTTCACGCGAAGTTTCAAAGGAGTCAAGCTCTTTGCCTCTTTTATTCCTTTTTTTCTGTAGAACGGATTCCGATGGCAATTTTTTCCAATCTGAAAGGCTCAAGTCCTTTCCACGCTACTGGTCAGCGCTACGACGCCGTTTCTCTTGACAATGGTTTTCCATCCTGGACTGGCCAGCTTGACGCGAAGAGTTCGACTCGCGTGCTAGTCCTGGAATTGGGCTGAGACATTTGGCATTTCTTCCTGGTCCAATACAGAGCCTGATGTGCTAAATTTGGGCTTCTTTAGCCCACGTTTTTCTCTGTCAATGTTCATACTCCGAAAGAGTGGCCCACGAAGTTTCATGGTCAAAATTGAGCTTAATAAGAGGAAGCTTTCGGTTTTAGTTACCAGTATCAGTATGCACACGAGAAACCATCTAAATAGTATAGACATTGGCGCTACAATTGCATATCAAATAGCCCTAGGAGGAATTTTACAATCTTATATAATATTGGGTAGTTATCATAAATGGTCACAAACCTATTCACTTTGTACAAAACGGTAACAATCCTTTAATTTTGCACGTTTCAGTAATACAAGTTTGAGTGAATAACAAAGAGGTCAATCCGTCCACTTCCGTCCAAAAATCCATTACTTTTGGCCAGTCAGCATGACACATCATTAAAAATTTTAATAAATTTTTTTTAAATCATCCAAATTAACCCACACAACCCTAACCGGTTAAATAGGTCGTATTGGAGAAAGTAAAGACAGACAAAAGGTCACTTTTTTGCGAGAGAGCTGTTCTCCGGCAATGCAGCGACGAATCGGGGAAGGCCTTGTGGCGCGGTGAGGTCGAGGCGGAGGAGTAGGGGGGGTGGGGGTGAGCGTTGCGGGGCTAGTGGTGTTCTGTTGTTTGTTTCGGGAGGAATCGAAAGAGAAATTGTCGGTGGAGAAGATGTTGTCCTAGTTCAGCTCGTGTCCTCGCCGTCGCGGTGGAGCAGCGGCGGATTGGTGGAGAAGAAGGCGTCGAGGAAGCGGTCGGAGGAAGGAGGGGATTTTCGTTGGCGGAAGTGCTTTTCTTGTTCCTAATTGATCAGAGATCTGATCTGAAAAGGTAAAAAACCACACCAACCAAAACCCAGCTGCACATTCATTATGATACACACAATAGAGAAAGAGAGAGTGGAAGCGTAGTAAAGAAAGGAAGCGTAGGGTATCCTGCGGCGAGGTCAATTAGTAGTTGGAAGGCAAAGCGCAGAACTTGAGATAGAGAGATCAGAGTCTGCAAAAAATTTCAGTATGGAAAGAGTTTTAGATGTAGATGTAGATGTAGTTTGGGTGTCAATTGTCATCATGGGACAATAATGGTTTTGCTTTTCCTTTCCGGTAACGATAGCGAGAGAGAAGCAGATATGAGGATGAAGAGGTAGAAAAGGTAGAGGACTCAGGAGAAGAAAGGTGGAATCCAGTTGATGGAAGACCACAAAGGGGAAAGCTGAAGCGCGCGTGGAAGACATAACCGAGTGATTAAACCAGTTAGGGTTGTGTGGCTAATTTGAATGATTCAATTATTTTTTATTAATATTTTTAATGATGTGTCATGCTGATTGGGCAAATGTAACGGATTTTTGGACGGAAGTGGACGGATTGACCTTTTTGTTATTCACTCAAACGTTTATTATTGAAACGTGCAAAATTAAAGAATTGTGACCGTTTTGTACAAAGTAAATAGGTTTGTGACCATTTATGATAACTATTATGGGTGTTATAGGTTTTTGCTTTTATGGTACAACTTTAAGTTGTACCTTTAACGTTATGGTACAACTTTATATTGTACCTATACTATTTTGTACAAATTCATTTATGGTACAACTTGAAGTTGTATCTTTATGTGATGGTACAACTTTAAGTTGTAAAATTGTACCATAACATAAGGGTACAAATTTTCTTATGGTACAACCTAAAATTATACATTTAAGGTTATGATACAACTTCAAATTGTACATTAAAGCACCAATACTTTATAACATAGTAGAAGTGCTCACCTAACTAGAGCTGGAAATCTAGTCTCGAATTTGCAGTTTGGCAAGTTTAAACTATCTCGGTTGCAATCGGATACCTATCAATTCGGTTCTATTTATGGTTGTAGTATCAACAGAACAAGCTATCCCGTTCTACTTTGGTTAAAACCAAGAAAAATCGAGAAACCAGATAGCAAAAATCCAACTGAGCCTAGCCTGCATAGCAAAGTCCATTACCGAAAGCTCGTCCCCACTCACAGCCCGACACAAGACTAGGCCACAACTCGAGCCCAACCCTAAACATGCATACTGCAACTGCTAACCCACTAACGCTAATCCTTCTCTCTGGCTCTCTCAATCCCCCCCCCCCCCAGATGACTAGAACACCGCCTCACTCAATCCCCTCTCAATTCCCCCTCCTCGTCACCAACCGAGCACGACACATAGAGCGACGAACGACGACGAAGGTCACTGACGACCGGCTCGAGTTCCAGCTTCTCTCATCTTTCTAGCTTCTCTAAGCACGACAACGACAAAAGAGGAAATGAGCTCTCCAACTTACATGCGACTCAAAATTTTTGTTTCTAACATAATATATCCTACCATTAGCTTTTTCAGTATAACCTCTAGTACCGTTGACCATTCTTGATTCCAACATATAAATGTCTTCCTTTCCTGGTGTAGCCACTAGCCACTAGCCATCACCAAAACCAAAACTAGGGCTGGTATTCGGTAAACCGGTATTCGGTATACCGGGTATCGAACCGATTATAATCGGTATTCGGTATACCGAATATCGTCGGTATCGGTATTCGACTGCACTTCTTGGCCAAACGGTATACCGAATACCGACCAGTCATATACCGACGGTAAATCGGTATACCGAATACCGAATAACAAAAATAAAAAAGGAAACGACAGCGTTTGAAATTGGGAGGGGGGGCGTGTAAACTCTAAAATTAAATCAACATCTGCGCAGCCCAGCACATCGGCCCCTCCACCTTTCCTCTGTTCGACTTCAACTCTTCTTCTCCAGCCCGCCGAGGTGAATTCCAGCGCCACCACAGCACGCCCCGGCGGTCTTCCCCCAGGACATTCATCCCGCCCTTTCTTTATCGGCCGCAAATCCCTTTCCACCAACCGCCGCCACCCCTACTATCTAATCTTTTGCCTAAACTCAAATTCTCCTTATCACCAAGGGGATGCTTTGAGCGTCAGTCAGTTCCAATGCTTCAGCCTTCAAGTTCCAAGTATTCACAATAAACTTCAATTGGATTCCAATTAGTTAATCTCCAATGCTATCGTCAGTTTCTTTATCTCGAATTCTAATGGTATAATCTCAATGCATTAATCGGTATTCGGTATACCGGTATTAATACCGGATACCGAGTATTCGGTATCCGGTATACCGGATAACATTCGGTATCGGTATCCGGTGGGTACACAATGTTATCCGGTATACCGGATACCGACCGATTACCAGCCCTAACCAAAACCAAACCAAATTACTTAAAAGAGGCTAGGTTTGAAAACAGATCGGAAGAAGATGGCTCGGTATCCGGTATACCGGATAACATTCGGTATCGGTATCCGGTGGGTACACAATGTTATCCGGTATACCGGATACCGACCGATTACCAGCCCTAACCAAAACCAAACCAAATTACTTAAAAGAGGCTAGGTTTGAAAACAGATCGGAAGAAGAAAGAAAGCCATCAAACCAACAGGCAACAGCCTCTCTTACTTTCTCTCCACGACAAATATAATAAATGTAGGGTTGCCTTTTTTTCGAGTGTGTGGGATATCACAAACCAGCTGCCACTCACCAAAACCACAATGGAAAAGAATTAACTGCGGCAGCAGCAAGCAGCTGGCCCCCGCCGCGTCCTCTCTTTCTCGATCGGCATCATCATCATGATAATGCCCATTACCATATTTAATCATCACAAAACCCCAAAAGAAAGAAAAAAATAAAAGGAAAAAACGTACGCTTCTCTCTTTTCCTGGCGAAAGCATGAAGATCATCAATTACAAGACGCAGCTTCGCGTCGCCGCGAGCAGGCTCCCACCTGTGGGCCCACCCACCGCTCTCCGTTGCGCTCCACGTTCGCTTCCCACTCACTTCCCCAACGCCAATCCGATCTGCCCCGGCCACGTTTCCCCCACCATCTTCCCCTTTTCCCTAGGCGAAGAAAATACAACAAAGAGGAGAATAAATGGACATAGGAATTAGGATTAGGAAGTAGGGTTGTTACTTGTTACCTCCGGATCGAGTCGAGTTTTACCACGATTCATGTTCGTTTGTTAATTTTATTTTAATCTCGAGTTTGGTTCTAGTTCGACAAGAAATTTGTTGGGCAAGCTCGAGCTAAGCTCATTTAAAAAAAAAATAGAAGTTTGAGCTCGAGCTCAGCTCGTCAAACGAGGTTAACGAGCAAAAATCGAGTTCATCTGATAATATGTCGGTTGTAACTTGAACTATTCCTGTTTTTTCTTTCCTGTGACGACTAGGAACAGGAAAATTAAAAAAAAAATTCAATTCGAATTCCGGACCTCAACATCCTGGCTGCTGCTGCTCATGGTGTGTTCGGGATCGGTATTGGAAATGAATGGAGAAGTGGTGGAACGTGCGGAACCACATATTGGATTACTCCAGTGTGGCACGAAGCCCTTGACGTGCCGCTAGCTATGGCTGGCTTGGTACCCCGGCACGGTGGAGGTTTCGTAGCTATCGAGCTGAACATATCATGGCTCGAGCTCGACTCGTTAATTGACAAGCTTATTCGTGATAAATCGAGTTATTGGGACCAATTAGTTCTAAACATGTTATCATGATTTTCTATAATTTGAAAATTTATTATTCGAATCGCATCCTCGTATTCAAAATATGTAACACCCACTTGAATTATTGTGACTAATTGATTTTTCACACTAATTTGTTTTGTACAATTGCGATAGAGCGTTATAATCACAATGGAGATTAGGACTTGGAGTGAATGTGTCTGTGACCTCATCTTCTTTCCACTTTCTCGTGTCCCCCACCTTACCACTTACAAAATCCCGCCCGGCCCCCCCACCGCACTGGCTGCCGGCGGGCTGTCAGCGCCGTCGCTGAAGGAATAAGACGGGCGGCGGCGGGGAAAATAAAGAAACAAGCAAGAATGTACAGGAGGGGTCAGGGGAAGGAAGGGAAGCGGAAGAGAGCATCTTGTCTCTTCACTCACGCCATTACCACTTATGCCTTTATTCTTCCCCCCCTATCTCACTACAAAACATAATTAACAATTGCAGTTCTGTGCTTAAAGTTTCGATTCTTTTCTTTCTTTCACTTCTGCTTGCAGAAGCTGGCCTACTATGGCGTGTTTGGTTCATGGAATGGGGTTCATTTTCCATCTCTTCTTTAATTGGATAAACCATATCGAACCCAGAAAGCAATTGACAAAAGGAGAAATGAACAGGACGATTTTGTGATTGGTTTCTCACTTTCGGAATGCTCTGAACATGTTGTCAAGCTTGTTATTATTGCCTGTAAATCGTATATAAACAGATTGTGATTCGCACAATTGCAGTGTCATTTTCGTAGCTGTAAGGCTCAAAACTGTTTGATATTCTCATATAATCTAAGAATTTCGACTCATCTCGTCAAAATTTACATTTTCCGGTCGCCGGAGGGACATAATGGACCAAACCCCAGATCAATCTCCAAAACCAAAACCCAGAAACGAGAAAAAGAAACAAAATTGGCGGGAGTTAAATTCCCAGGCGAGGTGAGGAGTCTCTGCAAATCACTCCGAGCCTCTCTCTCTCTCTCCCTCCCTCTTACATCTCACTTAATCAATTCCGATCCTCCATTTGCTGTTGCGTCTCCGGCGTCTCCTGTCCACTGTTTCCTTCCTCCGTTCCCTCTTCCGCCGCTGCGGTCGTTGGCTCTCCGTGTTCGTAAAACCCCTGTTTCACTTTCCCCTCATTACCCATCTCCGCTCCATCACTATCCACGGCTCTGGCGTCACCGCACCCACAAACACCAGCTCTGTTCGAAGCAGGGGTAGCCAGGAAAGTGGGCTGGTTGTCTCCAGCCATAATCACCAGAAACTTCTCCTCGAAAACCTTACTCTCCACCGGCTTCCCTTCTTTCTCGCCCCCGCTCTCGATGTCCCCGCCGCCCCGTTGACGGCGGCTGGAAATCCTCCAGTAAGAGCAGGCCAGGATGAGCAAGGCGAAGGCAATCAGGCCCAGCATCGCCGCCAGCCCTCCGAACAGGTACGGCACCGGAGAGTGCCACGGCGATCGGATCGCTGGCGGTGGCGGCAACATTGCGGATGGCGGAGTAGTAGTCATGATGTTGGATTCGGAGCCGCCGCCCATTGATCTCATTTCTTAAAGACTTTAGGTTAATTTGCGTATTGCAGGGAAGGTGTTTGTTTAAATGTCAGGAGGTTTCTGGGGCGGGGTGGAGGCAGGGGAGAGAGAGGGAGAGGAGAGGAGTGGAGTTGAGGCGTGTCAGGTTGGTGAAGCAGGGCGGAGGAATGCGTCGTATTTATAGGGCCGTTGTGGGAAAGCGAGACGCGGCGTCGTCGGCAGCGCTAATAAAGCTTTTACTTGTTGGGCTTTGCTTTTTGAAAGGAGGGCACGGATTTTGCTCTGTTTTCCCAACTGCTTTTGATGGTAACTATCCGATTGGTCCCTGCCTCTCGGAGAAATTTCGATTTTGGTCCTCTTTCTTCTTCGAATGGGACACACACTACCAAACTCAAATGGTTATTGTAGGGAAACTGTAGATTTCGGTAAGTTTAAGGAAGATAACGTAGGAGTTTTAGGAGTTCTCTTGTTAAGGATACGGCTAAGTCTATTCGATCTTGTACAATGGATGATTGTATTATAGGACATTGAGTTTCTACTCTACCCATGTAATTAGGGTGGCTTAAAGGTGTGCTGAGACTATGTATTGCATGTTAGTATGACATTGTTAACTTCGAGTAAAGTTCGTAAGGATTTGTATTAGGGCACCTTTATGAAATGTCCGGTACTAATAGGTTATATGAACACTTATACACAATGGGGTTCTATTTTGTTTTTCCGATATGATACTTGCATTGTATCGCCAGACCCCCAACAATCCTCTCTCATGCCGAAATCACAAAAATGTGGTGACCTCCCCTCCAACGATTTGTTGATGCACCAACCACCTTGAATCGTCAGACTTTTCAACACAAAGAACCATATGCATATCACCATTTGATCCACCAACCATCTTTCCATTACCTGACTTTCCAGCAGAAAAACAACATTTGGATCTCCATTCGATCCTCTAAATGCCTATCTCTAATCGCCATGTAACATAACAAGGTCCACAAAAATGCATTATAGTCAGTGCTGTCAAAGCCGAACCGAGCCGGCCGCCCGGACCGCCAAAGCCGCCACCCGGTCGTAAAACCGGCTCAGATAAGCTATTTAACCGCCACGGTTTTATACAGCGGCCGACGAGCGGCTGAAGCGGTTAACCATTCGAGCCGCTCAAGCCGGTCGCGCGGTTCGACCATTTGGTTTACCCTAAAAAAGAAAAAGAAAAAAAAGAAAAGGCCAATCGTGGAATGTGGCAGCCAAACAAAACCCTAACTTTCATTTTATTTCTTCATCTTCGACCTAGAAGTAGAACAGATGACAGAGGGAGAGCGGCGCCACCATGCCGCCGTCAACCATCGCCCCAGCGCTTCCGTCCCGTCGCCGCAAGCAGTGCGCCATCCGACAGCGGGGTAATTCATCTCCCTTCTTCTTCTTCTTCTTCTTCTTCTTCACTCATTCCGTTGGTTCTGGCCTTCTGGGGATTTCTATGTTAGCATTTCTCCAGTGTGGGTATTATTGGGCTGTCGGTGGCGATTGGTTTACTGGGTATTTGATTAGTGGTGGATCTAGTAGTTGTTTGTCTGATCTTGACGTGATTAGCGTAGATTTTGAGATTTGCTGATAGGGGCAGCTAGTTTGCTTACGAAATGGAGTACCGGTTCTCAAACGGTTTTTAAACGGTCTAATGCCGGCTGGACCACTAATGACCGAGCCGTTCACGTTACCGGGTCATACTCCGGCTCGGCTTTGACAGCATTGATTATAGTGCATTGGAACTAAACTCTCAAACCATGATCTTGTACCACTTGTTGAGACCATACACTACACATTAGTGCGATATTGTCCACTTTGAGCAAACCTCATACGATTTTATTTATGGGCACCTTCCTATAAGGTATTGTATTGATAGAGCTAGGTGGACACATATATATAGTATATATACGAGAGACCTTTTTTTACAAAGTGATACATGGATTGCACACCAACAATCCTCCACTCAAGTCAACGACCACGAACGTGGTGGCCTCCTCTCTAATCGATAATCAACCACCTTGGATCTCTAGACTTCTCGACATAAGAAATCTTATACAAATCTACAATAGTGAGGTCACTTAACGAGGGTTTCCCTTCAACAGTTGTGATCCACTATCCTGAAAACCGAACCTTAAAATCTTGTACCACTTGTTGAGACTATACAATTTGCATTAGTACCTTATTTTCCATTTGGGCCTAGATCGCATAAATTTATTCCTAGGCATCTTTAGAAAATAACTCTTGCCAATGGAGGTCGGTGGAAATACAATGAGACGATCTCTTATTTTTCCAATATCGCACTTGAATTGCATCCCAACAATCATCTGTCAAACCAAGGACCACAAATGTCATTGCCTCCCCTCGTATCGATTGTCAAGCAACCGTGCACCTAGCATTACTAGGCGTATTGACAAAGGAAACCAGATGTATATCTCTATTTGATCAACCAGATGCAGATCTCCCTATCGCGTAGTCACTCAATATAATGAGGGTTGTTCTTTCTCGTAACTGCAATCCACCATCCTGAATCATAATATTTAGCTGGATATTGCTTGTTTAGACCATTCATTATATTGCATGTTAATACGTTATTGTTCGCATTGACCAAATCCGCAAAAATTTGTCTTTGACCACCTTTCTTAAATACCTTGTACTAATGAGTTGGACACTTACATATATAATGTTATTAAAAGATTTGTTCTGTGACTAAAACTGTTAGTACTTATAACTACACTATTAAAACATCATCGATCTAACATGTTTTAGGATAAAACATCATTTTACTCGTTTTTTTTAATGATTTTGGCGATTAACTATTTACTTTTCACTTAACCCCACAATCAGCCCATCCAGTACGACTTTCTATATCTTGCTCTAAACAATGGTTTCCCACCTCTTCAAATCACAGAAGGGTTAATTAGAGCTCAACAACTCCAATTTCCACTTTGTAATCCACTGGTGTTTATGGTGGGCTATCCAACTAATCTTGTTAAAGAGAATCATATCTCCTCCCACAACAACCAACCAGCATAGGAATTGTTGTTGTGACATTTAATCCTTATTTCATATCACTCTCTCAGTATATGTGAATATTAAATATGGAGAAGATCGAATATATATAATAAAATGAATGCAATAAGAAATATAATTTGATGGTATCTCTATGGTGGATAGGCCGAGCGAGCAGGGAACTTGAACTCGCCAAATCTCAACCTTTGATGAGTTGATGTTAATGGACAAGTTTTTTTTTTAGAAAAAAGGACCAATCGAATGTGGTGTTGGAATCGTTCGTCACAAAACACTGGCCATAAAAAAAGTTTGATGGCAGCACTTGTTCTCCCCACTAAACCATTAAGTGGAATCTACATGTGACGTCTTTCAAATTTAAATATATAGAAATGTGGTCAACTAAATGGTCGCTACTCACTAGTACAATCATTTGGTACTTTTCTCTATCCTTCATCTCAATCCAAAATCTCAAATTTGAGGATGAAATTATCCGATTCGTGGTTCCGTATAATTACCCATCCATGCATAATTACTCAAATCAAGTAAAATCATTAATTGTTTGATAGAGTTTGGATCGTGTTTATATGTATTTGGATATTTGATGAGACATGAGTAGGGTAATGTATATTACTACAATATTCTATTTAGATATGAGTTGGGTATGTGTTTCCTCGTTTCTTACGCATATAAATTCAGACGTGTATGTAGTATAAAACGGGACATGTTTGTCGAACTTTAAAAGTTTAGGTATCAAAAGAAAAAATAGATATACTAAAATGTAATTTTTATATATTTTTAGGACTTACTTGAAAATATTCAAATTTAGGTTTTAAGTGCAATATGCTTGTAATAGTTTGAGTGTGATATGCTTGGTCAAGTATCAAGTCCGTCATGAAACGACTAAACACATCGATGTGAGGTATAATTTCTTGATCACAGAGAAGAAGATTAAGGTGAAGAAAGTGGGCACTACGACAATCGTGTTGATATGTCCACAAAGCCGGTTACACATTGCAAGTTCCAACACTGGTTGGACTTGCTGTATGTCATGAGTGGATGAATCCGCCCCCAGGGGCATTGAAGCAGGATATAGATAGAGGATCGTAGTACAAGAGAAATTCAGGTGTATGATTCAAGTCAAAGTGGAAATTTGTTAACATGACTTGAATTAGATCATCTGCCATCGACTGAAAGTCAAGAGAATCTCGCTATCCGATCACTGAGTCGGGGTCCAGGGTTGAAGATGCCCGGTTTGGGAGCTCGAGGAGTTAGATTCCCACGATCCACGATGTACGGGCTTGTTCACTTTTGGACTTTTATGGGGATATAGGAGATAAACACTAAGCAAATGTTGTCCGAAGGATACTATATCCCGATGGGTCAAGCTCCATCAATGAAGCCCAAATATATACCGAGATAACCAGACAAGGCCCATTAGTTTTGGGCCTCGTGGAGCCGACTCTCCTTCGCGGTTAACATCCAGCCACATGAGTTTCTCGACCTGTCGTCTTCGTTACGCGCCACCTGTCCCTCCCTCTAGAGCTGTCTTCCTTTCTCTCTCGCGTCATTCTTCTGCTGAATCGTCACTTAAAAAACTCGTCCCCAACCTCCACCGGAACGCGATTTCCCGCAGAACCAGAATTTCGCACCGTTACCGGAGTTTGACAGAGCCACAGAGAAAGAGATAGAGAGAGAGAGACGAAGGAGGAGAGCAGTTTCCATCGAAATGAGGACCGTTGCGTCGCGGTTGATCGACTCTAGAGCTTCTCTATCTAGATTGTAGTAAGTCCGCTCTTTCTCATTCCCTTATTCCCTTCAGTAGAATTGCATTACTATAGTTAGGGTTTGCACGGGAATTCCTCTCGATGTTTCTGATTGTTCAATTTTTCGGAAACAGTACAATGGCGGCGGGGTACGGTGAGCGGAGATGTTTCTCAAATGATTCTAATAAGGTGGATGAGCCTTTCAAGGTCGAGGAAGCAGAAACTGTGAACGTCCCTCCGCCACCTCAAGAAAAGGTTTGAATCTTGTTCGCGTTGTTACTTGTTGGTTGCCTTTTTGGTATTTGCATTTTCATTCTGTTGTGTGTTTGGATTCAGTTGCTGGTGTTAGGTGGAAATGGTTTCGTTGGCTCTCATATTCTCAGAGAGGCTCTAGATCGAGGCTTATCTGTTGCCAGCCTTAGCAGGTATGCGTTTTTATGATGCTTGTTTGTTTGCTTGTGAATCTGCTACTAGTTGTCCATTTTGATAAGTGTCATTTGGTGGTTTGAACTTCAGAAGCTAGCCTCCGATATAGATAAATGATCCATAGATTCAAATTCTAGTTAGAACTCAGATGGTTGATTGAAAGTAGTCGAGGCTGTGTAGCTTCTTATGTGTTTGAACCATTTCCCTTCAAAGTTGTGGTTCAATAATGTTTGTTATGGAAAGCTTGCTACTATACTGGAGCTGCTTTCAATGTTTCTCAAGTTCTTTCCGGATTTCGTTTTGCATGACTAATGTCACTAAACTAGTTCTTGCTGGCATTTGAATCTGCTCGTTTTTTCCATGCAGATCCGGGAAGTCATCATTGCATGATCCATGGGCTAACAATGTCACTTGGTATCAAGGTTTAGTTTTTACTTTGCTGTTGAGTGTTGATTCTTCTGCATTCTGTTTAGCATATTTGGGAAGTCTGGAATTCTTTTCTGTAGCTTGATTCCTTGCCCTTACCTTATGTAGGGAACCTTCTTTCACCCGATTCCTTGAAGGATGCTCTCGATGGCGTCTCTGCGGTTGTAAGTAATCACTCTGTTTGCTTGCACCTGTTCGATAGGTTATGTATAGGGAGTTACTTCTTTGTGATGGAGTCGACTATGGCATGTTGTTGTCCTCTGTTGGTACTGACTCGGCTTCTACTATATTTTAGATTTCCTGTGTTGGTGGTTTTGGCTCACAATCTTACATGTACAAGATCAACGGAACTGCGAATATCAATGCTATTAGAGCTGCTTCAGAGAAAGGTATATGGGTTTTCTTACCAGTTAAGCATGATAGATAAAGCTGAATATAGTCTTTCCAGAAGCAACGCTTTACTCAGCTCAGCTTTCACTGAAACATTTCCCATTGCAACTAAGTTATCACTTGATGGTTCATCTTATAGGTGTTAAAAGATTTGTTTACATCTCTGCTGCTGATTTCGGCTTGGCTAACTACATACTGCGAGGATATTATGAGGGAAAGGTATGATTTCATAGTTGGTGTATGGGTTCTGAATTTTGCTCAGTATAACTCTTTTTTAATATTGTTTTCCCGGAGTAAGGTTTTCTTCAATAGCGTTTCTCATTCTCTCTCTTGGTTGATTTGCTTAAAATTCTGACACGCATGGTCATTGCGCCCTTGATACAGAAAGCTGCTGAGGCAGAATTACTTGCGAAATTTCCATATGGAGGTAAATTCATGTTTGCAGCTTATTATCCTTTTCTAATTTTGGTGTCTGGATCAGAAGACCAATATCTGTATCTCCATCTTTTGAAGAGCTTTTTTTAATTCCCTGTAAACAAATTAACTCTTCCAATTTCCTTTACAGGAATAATTCTGCGACCAGGCTTTGTCTATGGGACTCGTGGTGTTGGAAGTCTGAAGTTGCCTCTTGGTGTGATTGGTTCGCCTATGGAGATGGTAACTTGTTTATGCTTCCATGGATATATGCCTGATTTTTTGCCATCTTGTAAACCAAACACGAATCTAGTCTTGTGGTGCTTGACAATTGACATCCAGTGTATATTCTGCCAATTGACATGGACTCCAGTTTTTAGTACGCTTCATTCCTTTAGCATTCGATTTTTGAATAGTGATGAATGACGTGCTCTATTGCACTGCACCTCAGGTTCTTCAACATGCAAAGCCGCTAAACCAGCTTCCATTGATTGGACCTCTGTTCACACCTCCTGTGGATGTGAATGCGGTGGCCAGGGTGGCATTGAGGGCGGCAACCGATCCAGTCTTCCCACCGGGGATCATAGATGTTTATGGGATCCAGCGTTACAGACAATGAATGTGAAGATTAGAAACGTTAGCTCTCTATACTCGCTGTTCTCTTTCATTCATAGTTACTCTCCTTTGTGAACAGTTGAAACTGTAGAGCTGCTGGCCATGGAACCTTTTTCCATATAGGCTGGTAAGCAGGAAGTTCCCTACTATGGTCGGAAGAAAATGACGAGGAATAAGTTCGTCGAGAATTAGTATAGAAACTGTTACTGTTCTGGTGACAGAGATGAGCAGAAGATTTATGTACCGGGGGTGTGGTAATCTTAACTTCAATAACCTACCATGAACCGACTTTACACAAGAAACTATGTGAATATACATGTAGTAATACTTTTACCAGGACGGTTTTGTTTCGTCATCATACGATCTTTCTTGGTGTCTCATAATTTCATCATTAGTGTTAGCATCAGCAATGTGTGCTTCTATTGGAATTCGGATGCGAATCTATGTTCATCGCACCTGTCTAAGCTACCGTGTTGTCATGCAACTCCGACGAAGCTTCTATCAGCGTAGTAGGTTTGTGGGTTGAATCCACAGAGATTCTATCAGCGGAGTAGGCGATTGAGGAGAATCCATGGAAAAGTCCATGCGAACAGAAAACGCGGAGGGAGTCATCGCATTCATGTTGGCAAGATGAACTTCAGTACCAACCCTGTCGTCCCTGGAAGTATGGCACGTGGGATTTATCTTGTAGCAGATCGTGAACGGATTCAGAATTCTTCTCCAGAAGGAAGGGTTTGATTGCGAATCGTCTTCTTCGGCCGGCACCGGAAGCTTCCTATGCTTGTAAATGGACACGGCGGCAAAAATACAGAGTGCTGAAACTGTAGCCACTACTCCAGCGATCAGAAACAGGCACCAGAAGCTTTCTAGCCCAAGCTGGTTCTCTGAAGAAACCGAGGTACTATATTCCTCCAGCCACCTCCTCCTCTTCTTCCCATTTCTTGCTTCTTCTATTTTGGCCATCTTATCTCCCTCAGCTACGTTCAGGACTGCTCTTGAAATGTCTGGAACTAGTGGGGAGCCTTTGGGGAAGACCTGCAAGCATGTCATCAAGAAATTTACTTACACATGTACGGTGATCGCCATTAATATCTAATGAATGTTCGACAATGTATGCAGGGCAAAGCTCACAAAGCCAAAGCCGCCAGTTTTATAAGTCGGGTTGATCATTGTGTACTTGGGACTGTGCTTGGCCAGGAACAGCTTCATGTATGGAACTTCATCGAAGGCCGCTGCAATTTTCCCCTGGCCGAAAAGCGAGTCACATTCGTCCAAGTTATGGTAAGGGACGAGCCTGTCATCTCGGAACCCCAATTGTTTCAGCAGGTCGCGCACAAACGATCCGTCCTGGTACCCAACAAATTCCCCCTTCCTCAGCAGCTCGTTCATGTCTGCCGCCGTCGTTGGCTGCAGCCTTTGCATAGTTTGGAGGTTCGTGAAGCTGGCGGTGTAGCTCATCGTCATGATCAGCACCACAAAGCACCACATTATCACCACCGTCCTCGCCAGGTTGCTCGCCACGTTTTCTCCTGCAATTTGATATAACATGGTGCAGTAGTAGTGACTAGTTAAGTACCCTTTTCAATGTCTGTAGCATACCCTTTTCTAACAGTTACTTAAACTTACTGTGAGCGAAGACCATGGCGGAGAAGGAGAACCAGATGCCAGCTTTGTGTGAAGGCGGCCCTCTGAAATCCTTACTGATCATCCTGTGCTCGAATACCCACACCACGAACCCAATAAAGAGGAAGAGGAAGAACACGGTGACCCAAACATTCCACGTCAGTGGCTTCAAGAACAACCACGGATTCTTGCTTCCATTTGGCTTCGCCGGCACCACCATCGACACTCCTGATTCTGTGTACGGCAGCGCGAAGTCGACGTACTTTGACCTATCGGCGATGATGGTGATATCTCCGACCACCGCGTCGAAGTTCTGCGCTCATGCATGCAACAAAAGTACGGTAATTACTAATTAGTCTGGCATCAGGGGATTACTCATATTGTCGGATACGATTAGTTAATTAGCTTATTACTTGTGTACTTACTTACTTACCCCTAAAAAGACCTGATAGACAAGGTCGCCGTAAGTCCCGGCGAAAGGCACATACTCAAAGGGAAGCGCATAGGGCAGCGCCAGGACGACGGCTTCGAAGACATCAATGGAGTAGCCAGTCACGCTCGTCTTGTTGGTTTCGGGATCTGTAGTCACAGAAACAAACTCGCTGAATCCGTCTCTCATGGGGACGCCGATCCTCAGCTTCTTCCCTCTCGTCGTGATCCCGGACTCTTTCGGAGCCATTGCCCGATCCCCCGGCCATATCATCGGCCCCAGGATTTCCCTCAACGGCGAGCTTGTTACCCACGTCGACGAGTTCATCAGTTCTTTAACCAGCATCTCGCCAGATGTCCAAAACGCAGCAACTCTAGCTCCGTTCCCATGTACATTCACAACCTCATTAGACGAGTGGAAAATGGAGCTACGGTAAGGGACGCAGGCGTCGACGGCTTCGATGGTGTCGACTAAGGAAGGGACAATGCATTGGCCGAAGGCGTTGTCGATCGGGATGCTTTGTTGCCGGTCGACGGATTTGGCTATGGCGGTGGCTTGAGTCGAGTCATTTTGAGTGGCGCGGAAGAAGTATGGGCTGCCGATGGAAGCGACAGTTGGGCTTGATTCGGAGAATGAAGTGATGTGAACTTGGGCTTTTTCTCGCACTGCGATCATGCAATTGGCCTCTATTGACGTTTCTGGGCCCAGGATTGCTTGGACTTGCACGTTATTTGGTGCTGCCGCGTGTTCGTTGCAATAGGAAGGTTAGAAAATCCGAGAGAATATAAATTATTAAGATGAGGAATTTTCATTTTTGTTCATATTTCGTAGCAAGTTGTAAAGCATACAAACTTCTTATTATATCTATACTATTTCATACAAATTTCTTTATAGTACAAATTGAATCAATTTGTATTACTTATGATACGATATAAGTTAGAATTGTACCATAACATAACAATCCAAATTTTCTAGTGATATAACTCAAACTTAGTAGAATTGCTAGAATTGCTATTTAGGATATTGGTTATTCTACTCCACCATTTCTTTGTACTTTTACAATAAAGAGAGCAGACCGTTGCATATTTAAACCATAGTTAGTAAAGTATGGCATTCATTTCAATCAGAAGTAGTTTATTATATGGTTTAAGCTTTTTTTTTATGGCTAGTAGAAACTAGAAATGCTGTTTATTCCTAGATTGGAAAAAGTCCAGTGGGTGGCGACTAAGTCAAGTCGTCGCTTGCACCTGCCGACTACGATCCGCTAAATATATATATTTTTTTTTGAGGAACCAATTTGCCGATTAAAAAAAATCAGAATCCTCAACACCTTCGATAGAAGTTCTATCGCTGAAGGCAATTAGAACAAGATTGGGGGAATGATCGATCAAGGAACTTCTAACTACAACTAGCTAATCGAAACTTGAACATTTTTGGCGGTCGAATTTCATTGAGGAATAACCACAAACACCTAGAGCGCAAGAGCGGAAGCAAAGAAAAAAAACGAAAATCGAAATGGGGGAACAAGTAGTACGCACGTACGGACCTGAAGCAGCGGCTTGAACAACCTCGACTCTGCGGGAATCCCTGGTGTTGATCAGGAGGCGGGCGGTGTAGTTCGGCTGCCAACCGTAGGGATCGGAAATCGCCATTTCCACGCAGCTCGGCTCCACCTGTCGGACAACATCGGCTCTGTTGAAGTCGAGAAAGTTGGCGACGTTCATCCCCACCGTCGCGTTATTACTGCTACTCTGCCCCGGCACCGGCGTAATATCAATGATCGCGGCATAATAAACGGTAGCGAAGAACATGAAAACGAAGATTCTTGACCACCCGGCCGGATTCCGCCGACTGCGGTGGCCAATTTCCGGCGACATCGTTTGGGAATGGGCGGTCTAAATATTGGCAGGGAGCAAGGCAGCAAAACTTCGACTGAGGCCTTTTTTTCTTCTTCTTTTGTTTGTTTGAGAGAGGTGAGTTGTTTCTTTATACAAAATAGTCTAACTCGAGAGCATGGTAGGCCCCAACAACATTGTTAAAACCATCGGGGGGGAAAATAATATTAAAGTGTTTTACATTTTATTGAGTATAAATGTATAATCGAACTGATTAAAAAAATATAATTCATTAAAAATTAAGAGAATACTGAAAAGAAAAGAGAGAAATTGAATTAAGAAACGAGTCGTCGTGCCTATAATTACGAGTAGAGGTGGCAATTGGATCGGATTCATGGATTCGTGGATTGGATTGGTGGATCCATAAATCAAATTAGGGATGGCAATGGGTCGGGTCGGAGACGGATAGTGCATATCCGTTACCTACCCAAAGTAGTTCGGATTATAAATGTATAATCGAACTGATTAAAAAAATATAATTCATTAAAAATTAAGAGAATACTGAAAAGAAAAGAGAGAAATTGAATTAAGAAACGGGTCGTCGTGCCTATAATTACGAGTAGAGGTGGCAATTGGATCGGATTCATGGATTCGTGGATTGGATTGGTGGATCCATGGATCAAATTAGGGATGGCAATGGGTCGGGTCGGAGACGGATAGTGCATATCCGTTACCTACCCAAAGTAGTTCGGATTTTACCCATACCCATACCCACATGTGAAACATGTAGAAAATTAAAACCATGCCCATACCCGTTCGGGTTTCGGATACCCACGGTTATCCATGAGTAATAATTTCTCTTCATAACTCCAACAAATATGTTATCATTCATACGTATTCTCACATGACTTAAGAGGAAAGTACGACAATAGTTCACTAGAATGAACAAAATTAATTAAAAAACACAATTTCAAGAAAATATTGTATTTATATGCTAAATATAAAATATTTTTAGAGAAAAATAATGATTATTTATAGACAAAATACATATGCATTTGTATAATCGGGCGGGTTCGGGTTGGATAGTGAGAAACCCATGCCCACCCATTACCCGCAATATTCGGGTTCGGGTTTTACCCGTACCCACTAAATGTCCTTCGGGTTCGGGTTTTACCCTACCCGATTAGGCTGGATTCGGGCGGATATCCACGGTTACGGATATTTTTGCTATCCCTAGATCAAATGGATTTGATCCAATGGATTGGTGGATTCATGGATTGGATCAAATGAATTGGTGGATTGATTCATGAATCCAAATGACATCTAAGGCTTGGACAAAAATGTAAAATTTGAAAAGTTTTGGTACTAAAATGTCATAACGAAAAATTTTAGGTACCAAAATGTAATTTTTCAATGATGTTTTTCGTATAAAAATATAAATTTTAGGTACCAAAATGTAAAATATAAAAATATATAGGTACCAAATTGTATTTTGCCATTTGGATCCATGGATTGATCCACGAATCCACCAATTCAATTGGATTTGGATCAAATGGATTGAATTTAAATGGATTGGATTAGGTGGATGAATTGGATTGGATTCATGGATTTGGATCCTAATTGCCACCTCTATTTAGGAGTTAGGAGAGTTTCATGGAAGTTTCACCAATGCGTTGAAGAATACTTAAGCTGCTAATTAATCAATCCCATCGCCATCGGTATTTGGTGATGTAATAATAAGAACTGTTATATATTCTGTTGCCGCTTAACCAGCTTTCCGTAATCGGACCTCCGTTCAAACCACTTATCCAGTTTTTTGTGAGGAACCATATATGTTTATGGGATCCAGCATTCTGTATACGGAATGTTCTCTTCCATTCTTTAGTTAATCTCCGCTTCCATTGTCAACTGACAACTGTTGCAGCTGTGGAGCTGCTGGTCAAGGCTGCTCAAGATAGAGTGAGTAATCTTCTGGTGAGTAATAATGAGTAACCAAATTTGGACCCTTCTTTTAAGTGACTGCAGATTTAAGGGTGGAGAATTAAAAAAATTTATTTTCCCTAGTTTTTTTAATTGGATCATATCTTCTTCATTCTAACTCGGATTTCAATTTTTTTTGCACAGATGGAACAAGTTCGTTGTGCTCTACAAAATGATACCCATTTTCAATATTTTTTGAGAAAAAAATTTCCATCCCTCTCGTTACCAACTCCATACCACATAATATCTCCTTTGTTGTTTAGTCATTTTCGGAAATTTTTGCACAAAAGGAACGATTTAATCATGATCTATTGGATTTCAAAATTTTCTGGGGGAAAAAATTTCAAACCTCTAATTACCAACTCCATACCATACTATACCACCCTGGTATATGAGGTGGTATTTTTCATACCATATGGTATGTTGTTATTTAATAGGATTAATACCTTAGTTTGGCCCGAACTATAGACAAACTTTCTACTTTGACCCGTGATATCGGAAATTGCTATTCTGGCCTAAACTATGTAGCATACTTTCTTATTTGGTCCGGAGGCGGGTTTGACCGTCAAATTAGACGGTCAACTCGGTTGACCGTTAGTCAAAGTCCACCTCACTTGCCACTTCATCTATCAAGGAATAAAAATTTATTATTTTTTTGAATTTTTTAGTTTTGTTTATTTTCTAAAATTAAATAAAAATAATTTGGGGTGCTTTTTTAATTAATTTTTTTCGTTTATTATTTTTATTATTAGAAAGTAAAAAAAAAATCAAAAATCAAAATTAATTTTTTATTCCCTAATAGCCGATGTGGCAAGTGAGCTGGACCTTGACTAACGATCAACTCGGTTGACCGTCTAATTTGACGGTCAAACCCGCCTCCGGGCCAAATAAGAAAGTATGCTACATAGTTTAGGCCAGAATAGCAATTTCGGATACCACGGGCCAAAGTAGAAAGTTTGTCTATAGTTCGGGCCAAACTAATGTATTAACCCTATTTAATACCATATGGTATTGACTGGTATTAAATAACAGCATACGCTATGTATTAAAAATACCAGTCAATACCATATGTTGTTATTTAATACCAGTCAATACCATATGGTATAGACTGGTAATAACTGGCAAATTTTTTTTCTTCAAAAAAATATCAAAGTGGATATCATTTTGAAGAGCACAATTAATCTGATCTAACTGTGCAAAAAAATTGAATTCCGAGTTAAAACGAGTGAGAAATCGTCCGTTAAAGATTAAGGAAAAGAAAATTAATGATTTTTCCAGGAGAGAGAAGGAGGCGCTGATGTGGCATATTCTTATTGGGTTATGCATGGGGTTACTCACCACAAGGTTACTCAACGGATCTGCTCCCGGCCAAGGCCAAGTAATCCTTTTCCTCACATGGAATTTCGTAGAACAGTTGGGTCTGGAGCCCGAGAGAGACAAAGCCTGCTAAGCCCAACCAGACCGTCATGAACGACATTACTAAGGAAGGCCTGGTGCATTGACACAATGATGATTATCCTCATAGGCGGTCCTCTCTTCGATGGCCACAAAGTAGACTGCCTGACATAAAGCATTGATAGGCGACAGGAGATAAGGCTCTGGAAAGATACTTACATGGGTATAAGCATGACTGAGCTTTAATACCACGTCATAGGCGCCCTCCAAATAGATGGGACGTATTTAGGGCTCCTGGCACAATATTTAATGCCCCAAACCTCATCTAAATATCACCTGATAAGCATTGATGGTAACTTAACTACTTTCTATCTCACTAAACCTACTTCTAATTATCATTTCTATGCCGATGGTAAGACAACCTAGTTGGTAAAGGGCTGGGTTTCGGGCTTGGGATGTGACAAGGTCCCAGGTTCGAATCCCAGTACCGCTTTCTTGGTGTTCCCAGAGGCACCCTTGCTACAGGTGACAAAGTCTCCCCGATGACGGTAGCACAACGCCGGGCACTGCGCGTCTGCGCCATGACAAAGTCCTTGATGGTTAGTATGCAGGTACCCCCAAGTTTAGTAGGCCCCGCTGTCACTCATGTTGCATGTGGGTTGCTGATGTTCCTGGGTTATCAAATTATCATTTCTCTCTCTAACTTAAGCATCATAGAATGTCCCAGACAATCGCTTGCAGACCTTTTTGCAGGATCAAGGAGACCGCCTCCCACCTTAGGAACACAAGCTCCACTCTCCTCTCACAATCCTCCTGGAACTTCCCTTGCACAAAGAGATATCATATCATAAACCATTTTATTTGAATACGAGTTATCGAGACTCATGTATGAACGCTAACCACTTTGTTACATGCATTCATGTTTTACAAGAATAGTTTTGACACTAAACCACATTTCATGATCTCCTAATGTCTCGTAATTTCATCATTAGCAGTAGCAACGAGTCCTTCTCCGTCGGAATCTGGATGCAAATCAATGCTTATTATTGCAACTTCCTGAGCAATTGTGTTGTCATGCAACTCTGACGAAGATCCCATTGACGGAGAAAGCGTTTGGGTTGAATCCACGGGAAACTCTGTATGAACCGAATACATAGAAGGGCTCATCACATTCAAACTGGCTAGACGAACTTCGTTCTGGTCACCAACTCTGTCACCCCTGAAAGTGTGACATTCGAGGTCCTTATTGTCGAAGGTCTTCAACAGATTCAGAAGCCTTCCCCAAAATGAAGGCTTTGATTGCGAATCGTCATCTACTTGGGGCGACATCAGCTTCCTATATTCGTAAACAAACTGGACAGTGAAAATGCAGAGCGCTGAAACTGCAGCCACTCCAGCTATCATAAATAGGCTCCAGAAGCTGTTTAGCCCGAGTTGTCCCCCTGAAGAAACAGTAGAAGTAGTAGATTCCGGGCACCTGTCTTTCTTGCCAAACCATGCTTCTTCGATTTTCGTCATCTTGTCTCCCTCAGTTACGTTCAGGATGGCCCTAGATATGTCTGCAACAAGCGGAGAACCTTTCGGGAACACCTATAAACAATGCAGTTAAAATCATGATTCTATACCTGTAGAAGCGTTTTGGTGAACTAGAAGCGTAAAAATGTAAGTTTTTAACTTAAAGTGTAGATTTTGACTACAATTGTAAGTAAAAAATGATATTCTAAATAGAAGCATTTTGATGATATAAAAGTGTAAACAGTAAGTTTTTTAAGTTTAAAACTCACAAAGCCAAAGCCGTCGGCTTTATAAGTGGGGTCGGTCATCATGTACTTGGAGCAGTGCTTAGCCAAGAAGAGTTTGATGTAGGGCACTTCATCGAACGCCGCAACGATCTTCCCTTGGTTGAAGAGACTATTACAATGCTCTGAGTTTTTATATGGCACAAGCCTGTCATCTCGGAACCCTAACCGTTTCAGTAGGCCGAACACAAACGAGACATCCTGGTAGCCAACAAAATCTCCCTTCCTCAGCAGCTCGTTCATGTCTGCCACCGTGGGTTGCAGTCGTTGCACCGTCAGCAGGCTCGTGAAGCTCGCCGTGTAACTCTGCGTTATGATCAGCACCACGAGGCACCATATTATCACCACCGTTCTCGCTAGGTTGCTCACCACGTTTTCTCCTGCACACACATGAACAACCGAATTGATGGGAGCCAATGTATAGTCAAAATCGCGCTTTAAAACATAAAATTTCACGTTTTTACATTTTGGCTCACCAAAACGTTTTTTTTTCCTGCATAGAATCATGTTTTTCACTTACAAGTATAGTCAAAACCTATGCTTTAAATCTTAAAAACTTACGTTTTTTACACTTTTAGGTCATCAAAATACTTTCACATAGAATCGCAATTTTGATTGCATTGATGAGAGTAAAACGCAAAGACAGTTAGATTTATTCAAACAATACTTTCAACTTACTGTGAGCGAAGACCATGGTTGAGAAGGAGAACCAGAGGCTGGTCCCGACTTGATGTGAAGGCGGGCCTCTGAAGTCCTTACTGATCCTATGCTCCAATGCCCACACCACGAACCCAATAAAGAGGAAGAACAAGAACGTCGTCACCCATAGATCCCACGTCAACGGTTTCAAGAACGACCACGCGTTCTTGCTTCCATTCGGTTTCACCGGCACCAACATCGACACTCCGGATTCTGTGTACGGCAACGTGAAGTCAACGTAATTTGACCTGTTGGCGATGACGGTGGTATCAGCGATCATGCATTCAAAGTTCTGCTCCCATGCATGCAACAAACAAATGGTAATTAGATCTGGCAATGGGTAGGGTTAAAATTGGGCCAAAATTAGTCCTCCATCCTTTAAGAATCCTGTCTGGTTCGTCTCTATAAGGTGAATTTATAAAACTGGCTCGTCTCTCCTATATTTCTTTCTTGACCCTATCCGACCCTCTAGCATTGGGTCGGGTCGAGTCAGCTGGTCGACTCAAATCCATCAACACAATATGATTATTTTAAAATTACATTTGCATGGTACACGAATAGATTTTTTGACAAATGGGTCCAATTTTTTTGATTACTTACCCCTAAGAAGACCTGATAAACAAGGTCGTCGTAAGTCCCGGCGCTCTCCCCGTTAGGTTTCGCATAAGGCACGTACTCGAAGGGAAGCGCATACGGCAGCGCTTGGACGACGGCTTCGAAGATATCGATGGAGTAGCCAATCACGCTCGTCTTGTTGGTTTCGAGATCTGTAGTCACAGAGACAAACTCGCTGAATCCGCTCTTCACAGGGACTCCGATCCTCAGCTTCTTCCCGCTCGTCGGGATCTCGAACCCTCTCGGAACTGCACCCGGATCCCCCGGCCATATCACCGTCCCTAGTTTCGCCCTCGACGAACCACCACGCGAAGTCGTTGCCACATCTGACGAGTTCGTCATCATCATCATCATCCGTTCTCTAGCCAGCCCTTCGCCACGTGTCCAGAACCCAACAACCCTAGCTCCGTTCCCATTCACATTCACAACCTCGTAAGCCGAAGCTCGCAACTCCCCGTCTTCCTCCATCGCGAAGTCGCCGGACAGACCCGCGAAGCTCGTCCTCGACAGCTCCCGAGCCAGGTTCGGGCCGTTGCTCGACACCCCGATGCTCTCCAGGTCGGTTGATGAGCTATCACTGACGTTGGAAAAAATATTATCGTCGTTGTTTACGAAACTGAAGTTTGTGGCTCCGCCACCGTCGGCAGTTTTCTCCACCGCCATTGCCAGTGCCACCGTGGCATCGTAGGCCCACAAACCATAACTGTTGAGGTCGGCGTCGAGGAGGATCTCCGGATGGTCTTGCCGAAACTTCCTCTTCCAACGTGCCCTAAAGTCAATGACCTCCTTGGTTTGTGGCACGTGCGGTTTGACCCCCAGGACGCCTTGCATGGATTTGAGAACGGACGGGTCAACGGAACTCAAGAAGTCGGTGATCCCGTCGGTCACGATCCACACATAACCTGCTGACATCATCCCCACTTCTTTGGCCTTGGCAAACAACCTGGTGTTCGGGGAATATGAGCGGTATGAGTTAAACTTCTGAGTGAAATACCGATACAGTCAAAAGCGCAACTCTATTTGGAATTGCTTTGTTGAGCTACAAGCATAAATTTCTACGTCTTTAAAGAGTACTTCTACTATGCTATATAGCATTGGTGATTTAATGTACAACTCAAAGTTGTACCATAACATTAGATGTATAAGTTTAGGTTGTACCATAAAGCAATTTGTACCATTATGTTATGGTACAACTTTACAACTTGAAGTTGTACCATCACATAAAGGTACAAGTTCAAGTTATATCATAAAAGAATTTATGTAAAAAGTATAGGTACAATCTGAAGTTGTACCATAACGTAAATGTACAATTTTAAGTTGTAACATAAAGGCAAAAACCTATAGCACCAATACTATATAGCATTGTAAAATATCTCGTCTTTAAATTCAAAGTATAGATTTTGACCATACTAATAAAGGAAAAGTGCGATTCTACAATAAGCGCGTTTTGGTGATCATCCATACGATAAAAACGTAAATTTTTAAAGTTTAAAGCGTAATTTTGACTGCATTGACTTTAGATGTTGTGAGACACGTACTTATACTTATACCGTAACAATTTACCTGGCGGCGAGATGGGGAGACACGTGGACGACGAAGACGCGAGTCTGCATGGTCATGAGCTTGTAGAGCTCTTGACCGATCTGATCGTCGGTGGCGGAAGGGGAAATGGCGCTGCGGTAAGGGACGCGGGCGTCGACGGCGTCGAGGGAGTCGACTAAGGAAGGGACGATGCCTTGGCCGAAGGCGTTGTCGATGTAGACGGGAACGGCTTGGCGCCAGCCGAAGGCCTTGACTATGGCGGCGATGGCGTTGACTTGGGTGGAGTCCTTTTGTGTAGCGCGGAAGAAGTATGGGCTGCGAATGGAAGCGAGGGTTGGGCTTGATGCGGAGAAGGAGATGATGGGGACTTGGGCTTTTTCTCCCAAGGGGATGAGGAAGTTAGCCTGCATTGATGTTTCCGGGCCGAGGATTGCTTGGACTTGCACGTTCTTTATCAAATCCAGGGCTGCCACGTTGTTAGCGGATGAAAGTTTTAGTGAATGAGAAGGGATAACGACAATTTACTTGCGTTTCTTAGATTAACAAATACTCATATTCAGATACAATATTCAACGTCAAAATGACATCAACATTTGATTTCTAAATTCATAAAATACCTAACAAATTAATTTTTTATTAATTAAATTCACTGAAATTACGTCATTTTGCTTAACCTTCCTAAATTCATCGTGTTCATAATAACGGTGGTATTCATGCCTGCATCATGATCGATAAGGGCTCAACCAGGTTCAACCGACCGACATTCTACTAGCGTTACAATACCGTGCAAGAAAGATAAGGAATAGGGATGATAATTGACTACGAACTTTTGGATATTCAATCCGATTCGTAAAATTTGGAGTTGACATGGTTTGGGTTGAGTCCGGGTTTATACACCTTTGAAATTAGTGAGTTGAGCCGTGTGTGAATTTTGTTAAAAAACATCCCACATTCCACCAAGCTTGTAGAGTAAAAAGATGTTTGTATCTAACCTTTAATAACAGGAATAATTTTGTGGATGTTATTATTCCTTATGAATGTTATTACTTATTAGTCTTGTGAAGATATATTTGTAGGAATTTTTTTCACAGTATACTATGTGGTTATTTGAATAAATTATTTGCGGTTATATCCATGAACTCATAGGTATCCATACGCACCCATGGATACCCACCAGTGGCGTAGCCAGAATTTCATTCAAGGGTGTGCATTAAAAAGAATAACATAAGCAAATACATTGACATAAACCAATTTTATCTTCTGACTATCGTTGTCGTACAAAGTTATTGATTTTCTCTAATAATCCTCATGTCATAACCATCTTAATAAACTGTATTAATGTAGATATTAGTAGGTTAAATTAATTTATATCATCAATCATGGTTGGATGCTAAAAATTTGTGAATTAACAATAAGATTTTGAGTTCATTGTTCATTATTAGTACTACTATTTTTTGTGGTGTTCCAAATCAAGGGTGTGCCATGGCACCCCCTAATAAGGGGCTAGCTCCGCCCCTGATACCCACATTGCGTTGGATTTTGTTTTCTCTTCTAAAACTCGGTGAGTATTTTACCGGTATTTTTTTATGGGTACACCCACTGGATTAGGATACATGTTAATTCTATTCAATATTTCCTTTTTCTTTTATAAAAAAAATTGTCTATAATCGCGCCTTGTTTTATTTGTATAAAATCCAAAATTAGTACCTAATTAGTATATTCTCCATTCACCAGAAAGTGAAATTTCAACAACCTATAGTACTAATTAAGATAGGTTGGTGATGCTGTATTATTCATTTATTTTCACAATTATATATTGTTAATGTTTAATGAAACCATATAGTGTTGTTTGAAGGGTTGACTATTTAATAATGAAGCGGACATTTTGGAATTAGTCATTGAGATCTATTAATAATGGGGGCGATGGCAGGGAAAGTCAACCAACCGAATGCAGAAAGCTAGAAACTTATCTGTTATCTCGTGGATCGAATTTTTCATTGAGGCATTACAACAAACACCTAGTGCGCGCGCAAGAACACAAAACCAAAGAAGTGCTGCTGCTAGTTTACCTGAGGCGGCAGCCAGAACAACGTCTCTTTGTGAATCCCTGGTGGCGATGGCGAGGCGGGTGGTGTAGTCCGGGTGCGAATCGTAGAATTCGGACACCGCCATTTCCACGCAGCTCAGGCCCACCTGCCCGACAAAGTCGGTTCGGTTCAAGTCGAGAATCACCCCGATGTTCACCACCACCGTCGCGTTATTACTGCTACTACCGGTACTCTGCCCCTCCACCGCCGTCATATTACTGATGACGGCGGCGCAACAGACAGCCGTGATGCAGAAGCGTAACCAGCATTGATTCCGGGGACCGCGGCGGCGGCAAATTCTCGGTTTCATTGTACGGGCGGGAGATTTGGGAATCGGCGCTTAAACAGGGCAGGGAACAGGGGAAACAAAAACTACTGAGATCTCTCTTGCTTGCTGCTGTAGGGAAGTTGAGTTGTTTATTTATAGAGAAACAAGTTTGAGAGAGCAAATGCGTACAGTAGGTGGCTTGTTACGGAAGCTATATTTGCATTAAGATAAAAAGGAGTCGGCGTCATGAATTGAGGAGCAGTACTTTCAGGGAAGTTTCGCAAGACAATGAAGGAAAATGTCCTTTTAATCACAAGAAATTCGCTGTTTAAAAGCGTACGTGTTGTAGATTTTAGTTACTAAGACTTTTGTGATTGATAGTAAAGGCCGTGGAGAATATATACCATGACTAGTTATAACTAGTTACGGTGTTTTTTTCTCATGATTATTCGTTCAGACTAATTGAGAAAACATCTGGGGTGTGGTATATTACTTAAATTACTCTATCATTTTCCCCCTTGCTAAGTTGGGATAAGATTAAAGTGAGTCTATCTTGATTAGGAATCATGTTTAATTTGTCGATCGAAATTGTTTTATATGAAAAAATAAATAACAAGAGAGAAATAAAGGTAAAAAGCTAAATTTATTTTCTGACACCGCAAATCTAATTCATCATCAAATCCAACAACAAACAATAGTTTTTTTTTCAAATCCATAATAAACCAGATCCATCATATATCCAAGATTTTCAGAAATCCAGGTTTTAACCAAAATTACAAGCAAACGCCACCTTATCGTCACCAACTCCGTCTTGGTCCCTGAAAGTATGACATTTGAGGTCCTTCTTGTGAAAGATCTTCAACAGATACAAAAACTCTTCTCCAAACGGAAGCAGGCTTTGATAGTGCACCGACCGCATCTTCTTGGGCCATTAACATCTTCCTGGGCTCGTAAACAAACTTGACCGTGAAAATACAGAGTGCTGAAAGCCTGAAACTGCAACGACTCCAGCAATCAGAAACAGGCTCCAGAAGCTGTTTAGCCCAACCTGGTGACTCGCTATGACACAACTCCTAACAATTACCAAGTGTAACCAATGAAAGTAACTGCAGTATAGTGGCTCAAGTAATAAATATCGAATCCACGGGTCTCTAGAGTTACTATTACTAAGCTTCAGTTCATTATCTAGCAAACCAGATTAAGATGAAAGAATCAAAACTACTCTAGCAAACTACAATTAAAGTTAATCTAATTACAGGTTGGGAACTCACTTAGGTATGATTCCCCCTAGCCACTAGCCGGATTAACGATTGATGATCTCTAACTTGTTACTCTTTCATTCACAATGCAGAGAATCCTTAACTAGACCTTGAGTCTCGACTAAAGGAACAAGGCCCTCTTGAGTCAATTGCCTAGAGGGACGTAACCTTCTCTAGAACAACCGATCAAGGCGTTCTGAACTAGACTCCCTCTATCGAAAGAGGTTCTCAATCGATACAAAGTAGTGAATCAATCCTCGACTAAAGCAATCGATCCAATACTATCAATCTATGGTGCTCTATTGACCTAATCAGGTATTCGCTCTCATAGGATCAAAGAAGAATCAATAATCTCGACTAAAGCATAATTGAATCATGAAAACATGCATAGATTGAATATGAACTCAAGATTATCAAGTCAGAGTACTCATACAATCATCCAATCAAACAAACATAGCTAGGGTTCCTCAAAACCTAAGTGAAGGGAAGTTACTCCATAGAGAAGAGAGAGACTGCAGTAAGAATCTTCAGATGATCAATCTTCAAGTCCGGCTTGTTCCTCAAGCTTCCAAGGCGAAGAAATCCTCCAATTCCACTCTTAGAATGCCCTCAAATCGCCCTCTCTTTCTTTGGTTCGTCCCTTGGGTGTTTGTGATCCAAAACCCAGCTCTCCCTTGCAAAAACGCACAAAACAGGCTTTTAACAGCCTGCGTTCTCGATCCCCGGTCAGAATACCCGGTCGGGTATTTAGGGAACCGTTCGGGTATCAACAAAATGCTCCGGGTCACTATTCTGGGAAAAAGGGAAAATACCCGGTCGGGTATTTTTAGTACCGGTCGGGTATTTTTGGTTCACGACCGGGGGGCCTTCTGATGCTGCCAAAAATCCCCTATCAGATGGCCAAAAATACCCGGTAGGGTATTATGGTCGGGTATTTTGCAGTTCCGGGTCCCCTATCTTTGATTCTTCGTTTCTCCCACGTTCGGACTCCAAATCAGGTGTCGTTTGATCTCAGACGCTCGTAGTCTCGTCCTCTTTCTTTTCATGACAAGATTACATGATTATATGGTCACAAACTGAGGTAGAAATCCATTCTTCTTCAAGTCATACCCGAGTTTCTCCCCCCGAGTCGCCAATTGATCTCTGATTGACTTGAAACTTGCGCCTACGCTTCACTTTATGCGCTAGGACCTGAAATGTGACAAAGGAACACAACCTAGCGTAAAATAGGCCAAAGAAGCGATAATGCAAGCTTAAATGATCAAGAAACAAAGGGGAAAACATGTGCAAATATCGAGTCATCACCTGGCACCCCGAAGCAACCGAGGCACTAGATTCTGAGCATTTGATGTTTTTGCCAAACCAAGCTTCTTCAATTTTGGCCATCTTAATTATCTCCTTCGGTAACGTTTAGCACCGCTGTTGAAATGTCTCGAACCAGTAGGGAAGACCTGGACATGCCATCAAGAAAACTATTTACATGCATGTTGTGATGAGGGTTGTTAAAAAAACACGAGGAACCACACAAATTTACGTGATATTCACAACAATTGTCTTGCGACTAGATGTGATAATTTATAATCCAATCTTTTCAATTAAATATCCAACTAATCAAGTTCATTTAAATTCAAATTCAATTTGATTGATGAGTTCATGGATTATTGGCAAATTACACTTTAGTACATATACTTTTAGAACTTTAAAAATTGATACCTAAAATTATGTTTTTATACAAAGTCATATGGTGAATTGATCAATCCACCAATTCATATGGTCCAATCCATCATTTCGTTTGATCTAAAGATCCAATCTATTTGCAACCTCTAGTTGAGACTAATCCACGACACTCAATTTTATGACGTAAAATCCTTAAATTCTGAATTTTGTTCCTCCGCAAATTGTTCTTCGCCATTATGTGAAAGTATGAGGTGTTCAAGTCCCCCACCTTCAACCATAACTCCCGTGATTTCTGCCTCCAGATAATCTCCTCCTTAAGCAGAGTTTTTTCTAACTCACACTTAAGGAGGGTCCTTTCTATGAGTAAGGAGTCAGCTAAGGGTCCCTGTTCATCAAGCTTATCAATATCTTTGAGTTTAAACAGCAAGCCTGAAACTTTCTCATCCGTTTCTGCCGAATTTCTCTATATTCCAGCCTTTAACCATAAACTTTGTGTTTCTCAATCGCTTACCAAAGAGGTAGAGACACCCAAAACCGGTTTTTGGCAGGTTCCACCATTCTTCTGGTAGCAGTACTTGTCCTCTGAATGGCCAAGTTTCCTGCAGTGGGTGCATTCAACTAGTCTTCCAATAGGAGTGACTCCCCTGGGGTTCATGCCTGGTGGCCACCCATGTTTGTGGTAGCAAACATACTCAGTATGCCCTAGTGCCTTACAGTGAGTGCAAAAGGGCCTAGTTCTTCTATTTGCTGGGATGTTGCTATGGGAAATCAAGGTTGTGCTTTCAGCAGCAAGAGCCTTTGCCTGATAGCTCCCACATTGTTGCCTCTCATGTTGGAGCATTCTCTAGAAGACCCTATCAATGGAGGGGAGAGTTTCCTAGAACAGAATCTGAGATTTGGATGTGCTATAGTTTTCATTAAGTTCCCTGAGGAACTGAATAATATAACCCGTGTCCCTGTAACCTATGACCTATCTCATAGCCCTACAGGTGGAGTGGTTGGTGGGTATGCAGTCATAATGACCATCCCTGGTTGTTAAGAGCCGTGGAGGTAGTATATATGGATCAGACATTGGATTTGTTGGTAGCTACAGTGTTTGTCGCTGCTGCTACATTTGTTCCACTAGTACTGGTAGTTCCATCAACCATGGTTGTGACGACACCTAGGGTTCAAGGGAATCAGGCTCTAATACCATAACAATACTTTTGTGATGGAAACCCTAAAACCTACTTCATCTCATTTCAGTCTCAACTTATATAGCTGGATCAAGTGGTCCAAAGATGGTTACAGAAGTGTAGAAGAAGACAAGCTTGCGAGGTTGACTTGGTGAAACGTCATCGTTGCGAGGTTGACTCCCTTGGCTTGCCGAAGCGGTGTCGTCGCTGCGAAGGCGAGGTGGAGAAGAATTCAAATGTCTTGAATTCTTCTCTAATAGCTAGCATTCATTTTCGCTCAAAATATTCTGGGTCATGACGTAGTATATGCAATCGATCGGCAGGAGATAGGGTCAGTAACCACTTGGTTACTGACAGGTCAGTAATAAATAGTGACCGTAGATCTAGGAAGTAGGCAATCGTGTGGTTGGGCCGGACGCTAAGTGGAGAAGGGTATTTTTGTCCGTTTATACATTAAATTCTTTATTTTATTTTATTCCGTATTAAATGGCTGTATTTTCAAAAAAGGAAAGAGAAACCATTATTTCTTTGCAACTCTCATTTATCTTTCTCTCTTCCTTCTCTTTTACTTTTTCTCTCCCAATCTTTTTTCCAGATTCTCTCTCTTCCTTTTATTCTCTCAATCTTCTTTTGAGATCTAAATCTGCTCCCTTCTCTTCTTCTTTTTTTTTCTCCAGGACGAATAAAAATTGCAGCCACTCTCTTTCATTGCATTTCTTCTCTTCATCATCTCGTTGGCCTCAATTTCGATCTTTCTCATTTTTCGGCATTTTGGTGTTCTTGATTGTGAAAGAGGAAATGAGAGGCGACAGAAGACGATTTTTTTTCTCTACCTCCTGTTTTTTTTTCTTTTAGATAATATATATTGATATTATAACTCTATACCATATGGTATTCGGTGGTAACGAAATATATATTGATATTACCACACTATACCATATGGTAATGTGTGGTATTGTGTGGTAACGAATTATATATTGATATTACCACACTATACCATATGGTATTGTGTGATATTACCACACTATACAATATGGCATTATGTGGTAACGAAATATATATTGATATTACCACACTATACCATAT